TAGATCAAAACAATATGCATTCCGCTTCCATAAAGGTTTTTAAGGAATCTCTTTTATTATATCTATAGAATCCCTTAAGAAGTACAGGCACAAAATGTTGAATTGTTTTTCTCTTGCACACCTGACAGATCAAACATTCTCTCTCATTCTTGACATAATAAACACCTGGCCTTACCTCTGTTCTTGTTTACAACTTGGAGATTTGGGCTTGAGGGCTTGTCATGTTTTTACCTGAAGATATAGCTCACTGACAGCATGTAGAAATAGATGCCATAAGTACTTTTCAGTTCAGTGCTTGACATCTTGGGTTTAGCCATCCTGATCTTACTCATGAGCGTGAAATTATTTCTCATTGGCTTCTTAAAGATATAGTGATGAAATATATATTTTTTTTACTCATTTTACCCTAAAGCAAGACAATAAAGCCACTAAGAATGAAGGAGTTACTGAATGTGAAAGAATATGAGAAAAAGAAAAACATTAAGGAGAGAATACAATTAAATAACAGGAATTAAGACGAAATATAATGATTTCAATTTTTAAAGATCAAAATTGACTGGAAAACAAGAAGGCAGAAAAGAATTCCATAAGTGAGAAGTTCAAGCAAAAAACTGTTGGCATCGGACTTAGGATTACATCTAGCAATTTTAGCTGTAAAATGATGAGACCTTCCTGCTAATCTTGTACTGTGCTTAAATTCATAAAGTCTTGGTTCAAAAGAGGAAAGCTTATCAGAACAATTACCACGAAAGCATTTATAGAAAATGCATGTATGAGTTTTAGACATATAAACATTTAAGAGTGATTCAAGATAGGCTAGAAGCCAAAAATGAGAGTTCAATGTGATAATTGTGAGAGAAGAAATGTCTAGCCATTTTAGCCGTAAAATGATGAGACCTAGCTGCCAATCTAGTACTATGCTTAAATTTGTAAAGTCAATGTACCAAAGAAGAAAGAGGAAATTATAATAAAATTAATTTCAGGCTAGAGTTCAAGTTTTTTTTTATTCAAAAAGATTCTTCTAACCTTTCCAGCACTTCAAAATAAACATGTTGTATGATAGTTTTTTCTTTTGCAGTAAACTTCTAGTAAACTATCCTGTTATGATCAAAGAAACACACATGCATAGCCTTCAACTGTGAGCAAAATATGCACACTTTTTATTTTGGTTGAAGTGAATTCTTTGTTTTCATCTGCATTTCCAGATTGTATTGGAATCACCGTAATGTTACCTCCCTGTGCCTTTTCTATAAATACTTTTATGGCAATTGTTTCACTATGGTGTGTAGACTCTTTGAATTTAAGTGTAGTACAAGACTGGTGACTAGGTCCCACCAATTTACAGTTGAGCTGGCTAGATGTAACTGTAAATTCTATGATATTCTTGCATTTTTTGCTTGTGGAACTCCCTTCTGGCTCCATGCTTTCAAGCACAACTTTAATCTGCAAAAGAATATTGATGCAATGTTAATTGCTATCTACTGTCCTCTTGATTACTTTTCCTCTGTTATTGCTCCCTAGCAACTGTTTCTTTTTCTAACTCTTCCACATCCAGTAACCCCTTATGTCTCAGTGGCTTTGCATGGGGTGAACTTGATTTAAAAAAAAAATTTCATTACTGGTAAGGTCTCTGTCAAAAATTTCTGCATTATTTAAAAGATCAGCTGAAACTTGAAGTTAACATTGTTTCTGCTTATCAAAATTTGAGACATTGTTTTTGAGGAAATTTTTTCTCATTCCCAAATTCTCTGTTAGAATCTGTGGTATTTTTTTCTCTATTCATATTCAGTTCTTTGCTATCTGTTGCACATATAAGCTTTGATCTGAGTTTGCATTCTGTCCACATTTGCATTTGTGTCTTACATGATCATACTATTATAACCACGCATATGTTAGTACAGAAGAATAAACAAAACAACAATTCTTTTATATTGCCAATAGAGTAGGTGCGAGCAGAATATCTCTAAATATAGGCAATGGGGTTAGCTTTGAAGAAAGGGCAGAGTTGGTAAGGTCTGGAGTTGATGCATTTGTTGGGTTGGTTGATCAAGGTCATGGTGGTGATATCAGGAGAGGCCTAGAGTGGATTACTGAAGGTTGATGCTTGCCCAGAATTTGGTTTTGCTAATACAGAGGATGTAAGCAGAATATCTCATTGGACATGATGTGAATGTTTGGAGGAGGGTGGGCCTCAAATGGATATGTGTGTCTGGTCAGCTGACCAAGGTTAGGCTGGTGACATTGAGAGCTGTTGGGTGTTGACAGCTGGCCTGTTGGCCATATACTGTCCCAGTTGCCCAGGTTACCTAGAATTGATTTGAGGAGCATTTGGAAACTTCTGATGAATAGTATGGTTACCATTTTGGTATACTTTGATATAGAAGCCCATGACTAAGCCAACCTGCAGGACATAAATGACCATAGGATGCCATCATACCAAAGCAAAGATCAATTTCACTATTCAAGAAATACACATTTCTTGTTGAGACATTTTGAAGTCTCTATCTCTTAACTTTATCCTTGTACCTGAAATGTAGACAATAAAAATCCCTTAATTACTTTGTTTTGTTTTGGGTATGAAATTAAAGTTAGCAATTATAGATTTCAAAATGTCCCACCATGACGTTAAATAGGCTGATTGAGCCTTGTTTTGCTGTAATGGTGTCTCATCGCGTACACTTGATAGATTAAAAATGGAATGCAGGCTTGATTCTTGTTAAGACTCATATTGTCTATAAACCAGCATTAGTACAATGGAAAATTGTCACAGCATTTGTATCATTGGGTTTTCAAACACCCCATTTAAAATATTATAATATTGTTTAATTTTTAATTTTCTCTTTGCTCAGCTCACACATTTTCTCTTCATCTTTTTTTTCATTCTTCCATTTGTTCATTTTTATTTTATGACTTCTTTTTTTTCTTCTTGCAAATTCTCACTAATTCTTTTTCTTTTTCATTTTATCTTCTGCTTTCTCCTCTTTCTCTCTTTCAATCGTTTTCTTTCTCATTTTCATTTTATCTTCTGCTGTCTCTTCTCTCTCTCTTCCTGTCTTTTTTTTTTCATTTTATGTTCAGCTTTTCCCTCTCTTTCTCACTGTCTTTTTCTTTTTATCTTTTGCTTTCCCCTCTTTTTTTCAATTTTTTTTACTTTTTCATTTTATCTTCTGCTTTTTCCTCTCTCTCACTCATTCTTTTTCTTATCTTTTTTTTTCTCTTATTCAAACTTTTTCTCTGTTTATTATGTTACTTTTTCCTCTTTTCTTTTTTTTGTCATTTTTTCTTTCTCTCCATTCCTGCTTTTTCTCTATTTTTTTTCCATTCTTGACTTTTTCTCTTCTATTATCTTGCCCCTTTTTTTAACCTCTCTCCTTCTCTCTTCTGTTTCTCTCATCTCTTCTTTCACTTCTCTCTTTTTCTTTTCTTAAAATCTCCCACCTTTTCTTATTTCCTCATCAGTCTCCCTTGATTGTTTTTTTTCTGTTTTTTTATGTGATAAATGAAAAAAAAATGGTTTTATTTTGAAAAATTAAATTAAAAGGCAATTGTTAAAAAATGAATTTATAACTTTTGCGGTTGAAAATGCTCAACGTAACCATAAGTTCTATGCTAATAGTTTCTTCTCTCCCAGTTCTCACTCATGGAAATTTTTCCTGGCTTCTTCCTTTCCAGCCAACTTTGATCTTCAAAAATTTAAATGCAATGCCAATTGTCATCTCCTGCATCCTTGAATTCTTTGTTTTTTTTTTTTATTATCCTCTCTCCTTAATAATGTTTCGTTTTCCTCTTATTCTTTAACTCTTGGCAACCTCTTGCATCTTACTGGCTTTATTACCTTGCTTGGGGTGAAACAATTAATAAAAACAAGTTTCAAAATTTCATAGATACAAAAATAGGTTTCATTTTATTTTCTGTAAACAAATAAAATTTTGACTAAAACCAGAAACACCTTACTTGACAGAGGTACTCAGAAAGCTACTTTACTAATTATGAAAATTTATCTTGTTAAATATTAAGAAAAAAATCATTTTGTGAGGTGTTCAAACACTCCACGATACTAACAGAAGGTTAATAAAGATTTCAATATTTAAGCCAGTGTTTATGAATTTCATTTAAAAAAAAAAACATGGGTGTCTACTAAAATATCTGTACTCACTAAGTATAATGTTTAAATTATTAAGAAATATTATTGGATTAAAAAAACTTAATTGTTTAAATGTGTGTGTGTCACTTTTGTCGAATTCAGTATTATTGCTTATAAATAAGAACCAACAGGGGTTTAATAAAACTTACAATCATTAGGCCAGTAGATATGAATTTTATGTTTTAAAAACATGGATATCTACTAAAATATGTGTACTTACTAAATATAATATAGCAATAAGAAATATTGTCAGATTTAAAAACAAATGGATGTCTACTAAAAAGCATTTATTCCCTAAATATAACATTTGAATAATGTTGCATTATAAAAAACATTGGATGTCTACTAAAACATATGTATCCTCTAAATTATTTTTATGGTAATAAGAAATATTGTTGGATTAAAAAAAACTTCATTACCTTGTATACTCTTATATAAGTAGACTTTATGTATAGTGCAACTGCTGAATTTTTTTTGCATGAATTCTAACCTTGCAGAAAATATTTACCTATGTATAATACAATCAGTCACCAAAAATGCATGATTTGAAACTCTTCAAAAAAAATTACCTGTATATAGTACTATCCCCTATTTGTTATGTAAAAACTGATAATAAAAACTTACACTCTACTCAAGTATATACAGTAAATTGCTTAAATGTGTTTGATTTTTGTCTCATTCCACATTAGTACATATAAATAAAACCAATAAGTCTTTCATAGGATATTGATATTCGTTTTGCTTATTATTCATTTCCAATCTCAAATTCCCTGATTACATCCGCTTTCTATTAGATCTGCAGATTGGAGGATATTCACCCAGACTCTCTTACCTCCCCTTGATATGTCTTCTCTGAATGGGGAGGTTGTTCATGAATTCCCTTTCATTCTACTTTTACTTTTCTTCTCTCTTTCTTGCCCTCTCTTTTCTTAATTTCTCTTCTCTTATTTTTCTTTTTTCTTCCTCTATTTTCTTCTCTTTTACTTTCTCTTCTCCCTTCCTCTTCCTTCTTTCTCATTTCCTATACATTTTTCCTTCATCTTTTATTCTTTTTCTCTCTCCTTCACTTTTCTTCTCACTTCCTATCATTCTTTTCTTTTTTCTCTTCCTCTTTCCCTTTCTTCTTTCATCCTCTTCATTCTTCTATCTTCCTCTCTTTTTTCCGTCCTCCTCTCTTTAGTCTTTTTCATTTTTTTAATCGCGTCCTTAGTTCTATTTTTAAAAATCAATCATTCCTTTTCTATCCCAAAAATCTTCTTCATTCTTCTATTTTGTTTTCTTCTTTTGTTTCTCTTTTTTTTCTTTTTATACAGTTTTTTTTCCTCCTCCCCCTGTCTTTCTTTCTGGCATCTTTTTCTATCTTCTCTTCTATCCTTTGCTCAGCTCACACATTTTCTCTTCATCTTTTTTTTCATTCTTCCATTTGTTCATTTTTATTTTGTGACTTCTTTTTTCTTCTTGCAAATTCTCACTAAGTCTTTTTTTTTTCATTTTATCTTCTGCTTTCTCCTCTTTCTCTCTCTCAATTGTTTTCTTTCTCATTTTCATTTTATCTTCTGCTGTCTCTTCTCTCTTTCTCCCTGTCTTTTTTTTTTCATTTTATGTTCAGCTTTTCCCTCTCTTTCTCACACTGTCTTTTTTCGTTTTATCTTTTGCTTTCCCCTCTCTTTTTTGCAATCCTTTTTCATTTTATCTTCTGCTTTTTCCTCTCTCTCACTCGTTCTTTTTCTTATCTTTTGTTTTTCTCTTATTCAAACTTTTTCTCTGTTTATTATGTTACTTTTCCCTCTTTTCTTTTTTTTTTGTCATTTTTTTTACTTTCTCTCCATTCCTGCTTTTTCTCTATTTTTTTCCATTCTTGACTTTTTCTCTTCTTGCCTCTTTTTTTAACCCCTCTCCTTCTTCTCTCTTCTGTTTCTCTCATCTCTTCTTTCACTTCTCTCTTTTTCTTTCCTTAAAATCTCCCACCTTTTCTTATTTCCTCATCAGTCTCCCAATTTCTCTCAATTTCTTTTTCATTCCATCTTTAGCTGCTTTCTGTTAGTTGCGCCCCCCCATCTTTTCGTCTTACTCTGTTTTCTTTTTATATTATCTTTACTCTCTCTCTCCTCATCCTATTTTTCTCCAAGACCATCTCTCCCTTCTTTCTGCTATCTTTTCCTTTTTTCCCTCCTCTTTCATCATCTACACTCTCCTCCCACTCACTGTCTAACATTTCCTGTTAAATCAGCTAATTTTGATCAAATGTCAAACCTAGTAGCTGATCTGTATTTGCTGTCATTTAATCTCTTCTATCACCTTCTCTCTACACCACTCTCTCTCTCTCTCTACACCACTCTCTCTCTCTCTCTACACCTCTCTCTCTCTCTCTACACCTCTCTCTCATTTTCTATACTTTCTTTTTTTTACTCTGATCCTCTTTCTTTCCATTTCTTCTTCTTCTTCCTGCTTTTTGAATCCTTTTATTTTCTTTCTCTTTCCAACTGTTTCTATTTTTTTTCCTTTTCCATTTGTTACTTAACCTTTTCTTTCTTTTTCAACCTGTTTTTATCATTTCTCGTGTTTATTTTTTTTTTATCCTCTCTTTGAATCTATTTTTTTGTCTGATCATTTCTGTAACTTTCCAACTGCCACAGAAATTTTGTAGTAAGCATCTGACATAGAAAAAGTCCGATATTTTGTAGCTTTGTGCAGCATTGAAACGATGAGAAACAGGAGAAAACATTTTATAGATTCATCTCTGTAATAATAAAAACAATGCAAGTGTAAATGTTGACTTATTGTTATTTAGTCAGCTGAGAATGATTGCTTACATGCTGATGGGACATGACATTAAAATACATAAATATTACACAGTACTTGTTTAGTAAAAGTTTAAAAAAATCTTCTGATTATGGAAGAACGTCCCAGCCAGCAGACTATAAAAAATTGAGTTATGAATACTTCCTTTTAAATAATTATCATCCCTGTTGTCCTTTTTTATATAAAGTAATTTTTTTTCAGTTTGGCTGAAAAAACAGGCATAAATTGTTGATTTTGATTCTTTTCATCGTCATTGTCTTTTTGATCTTTTTCATCATCATTGCCTTTTTTTATTCTTTTCATCGTCATTGTCTTTTTTTATTCTTTTCATCATCATTGCCTTTTTTTATTCTTTTCATCATCATTGCCTTTTTTTATGCTTTTCATCATCATTGCCTTTTTTTATGCTTTTCATCATCATTGCCTTTTTTTATTCCTTTCATCATCATTTCCTTTTTTATTCTTTTCATCATCATTGCCTTTTTTTATGCTTTTCATCGTCATTGCCTTTTTTTATGCTTTTCATCGTCATTGCCTTTTTTTATGCTTTTCATCATCATTGCATTTTTTTATTCTTTTCATCATCATTTCCTTTTTATATTCTTTTCATTGTCATTGTCTTTATTCTTTTCATCGTCATCATCTATTTTTTATTCTTTTCACTGTCATCGCCTTTTTTATTTTTTTATCGTCATTGCCTTTTTTATTTTCATCATTGTGTTTTTTTCTTTTCATCATCATCATTTTTTTTTTCTTTTCATCGTCATTGCCTTTTTTATTTCTTTTCATCGGCATTGCCTTTTTTATTTCTTCTGATTGTCATTGCATTTTTTGTTTCTTCTCATCGTCATTGCCATCTTCGATTCTTCACATAGTCATTGTCTTTCTTGATGCTTATCTGTTGATATTTATCAGTACTTAGTGATTATTCTCTGTTGATTATTGTCGATATTATTTCTTATGTTGACTCTTGTTTATGTTATTTGTTTATTGTTTTCATTTTTTGTCATCTATATGGTATCTTGTTGATAGTACTTGTCATTTTTTGATGACTGTGATTATTGTCTTTGTTTAATCTTGTCTCTCAGTTATTCTTTCTTGATTCATGGCTTTGTTGAACATTGTCTTTGTTGCTCATACTTTTTTGTTGATTCTTGTCTGTATTTATTCTTTGTCATCTTTGTTGATTCTTTTCTTTTATAAGACTTTCTCTCATGAGGCTTTAATGTATAAAACTTTGCTATTTAGATTCATATAAAGAAAAAGTCTTCAGCAACATTCAAGAACGACTGTAAATGGTTGTATACAGCTGACAGTTTAGATATCTCAGAATGAGTTTACATGACATGTATATATGTATATAATTCCATCCATGGTTTCTGCTATCATTTTTAAACTGGATCCTCACAAAATATGTGGACCTGATTATATCCCTGCAATAGATGTTAAGAAATGTGCTCCTGAACTGTCTCCTGCTCTCTCTAAACTGCTTCTTTCTTTTATGCTTTTTGGAAATCTTCTTCAGTCGTTCCAGTCTTTAAGAACTCGGGTAAAACATCAGATCCTTCAGTTAGTCTTCTACTGCTTTTTGGTAAAATAGTGGAGGCGCTAATTAACTCTGAATTGGTTAAGTATCTCACATTGCAGGGATTTCTTTCAGATGAGCAATATAGCATTTGCTTCTCTAGATCAACTACTGATGCATTAATGATTATTGCTGAAAGAGACTATCAAGCTTAAGATAAGAATGGTGAAGCTTGGGCTGTTATTTAGATATCTTGAAGGCATTTTAACAAGGTTTGGCATACTAGTCTTCTTTTATGAAGGTTTATGGTATTTCTGGATGAATTCTTGAATTGATTCATTCTTTCTTATCTAAATTATCTTGAATGGCACTTTTCTAGATCTTTTTGCATAATTGTGGGTGTGTTCCCCTGGGCTCTATCCTTGGACCTACATATTCTCTAATTTTCATAAATGATTTTCCTGATGTCATCAATTCTCAATTTGGTAGCTATGCTGATGGCAAAACTATTTCCTCCTATTTTTAATAATAAGCCTGATTGGTTCATTAAGGTCAAATTAACAAAAATGACCTACAACTGCTGTTAAATGAGACAAGAGTGGTTGGTTAATTTTAATGTCTCCAAAATGAAACTGCTCTCTTTTAATTATCTGAGAGAACCTTTTTACCTTCCATCAGCATGGCTGATGCTGACCTCCAGGGAAGTCTACTTGGGCTAATGTTTTCTGCTGACATGAAGTGGAAAGAGCATATTGAATCAATTGTTAAGTCTGCAGCTAAGAGACCTGGTTTATAGAAGACATACGAGACAATTTTTATCACCAGAATCTGTCTTACATATTTATAAGTCTCCCATTCACCCTTGCTTTGAATATTCCTGCCACATCTGGTCTGGTGCTCCTGTTATATATTTAAAGATTCTTGATAAAGTCCAAAGAAGAATCTGCATCTTGGTTTCAATCCCTTTCCCACTGCCATAACATAGCTTCCCTCTGCCTTTTCTATAAATACTTTCATAGTAATTGTTCTTATGAACTTTCTGCTATGATACCTAGACTTTATGAATTTAAATGCAGTACTAGATTGGCAGCTAGGTCTCATCATTTTACAGTTGAATTGGTTAAATATAACTGTAAGTTTTATGCTAAAAGTTTATTCTGTTGCACGTCTCGCATGTGGAACTCCCTTCCGGTTTCTTGATTCCCAGTCAACTTTGATCTTCAAAAATTTAAATGCAATGTCAATCATTATCTTCTTGTTCTTTATTGTCCTCTGTCATTAACATTAGTTTTTCTCATATTTTCTAACATTCAGAAATTCCTTGCATCCTAGTGGCTTTGTTGCATTGCTTAAGGTGAAATGATGAGACTACCCCTAGTACAGCCTATTTTATGATTAATTTCCTTATAAATTTAAAAGTTTAAAATCTCAGTGTCCTCACCCCTTCCAACATATGTGTAGTTACATAAGTTTAGTCCGATGAAGTCCTAAAAGACAAAATGTGTCACACAAATTTTTTTTCCAGTTTGACATTAATTTCCCAAACTAAATTTATTATATCTATACAGCAAAGTATTTAAAGTGTTTAATATTTACTAATTCCACTTCCTGAATTTTTCATGATGGATTCTGGGTATTTGCTTTCATTCATTCCAGTTCTAGATCAAAGGTTCTGTTTTGGAAAGGTTTATCTTGAGTCCTATTTCTTGGAACATTTGGTAGAGAATGTTGATTTTCTGTTCAAGTTCACTCATATCACGACTATGAATACCTCTGTCATCAGCATAGCCACCCCCTTACCTCATTATCAGTACACTGCCCTTGGGAGATAAAGCAGGAATGCAGTTTGTTTTTTTATTGGTAGATATGTCTCAAGTACATTTTTCGGAATTGTAATGCAGGATATTTACAAAGTTGCAGGAAGGAAAAACAAAAACAAAACTTAACGATTCCGTGGGAACAACTGACATGAAATTTCTTTTCCAAAAATAAAAAATAAAATTTTGGGCCTTAGGAATGGTGTTGACAAACTCTATGCAAACAGAAAAGAGAGAAGAAAAAAAGAATTGTCAGCTTTGAAAACTGCATTGACACTGTTATCAAGGGACTTTAGAAGTACAGAAAACAGAAAAAAAAATTGGTTGGTTATGACAGCCAAGATTTGCAGTAGAACTGATGGAAGGATAAAGGACAAGAGAAAACCAAAATGAGAACTGTCTTCACCTCCCCAAACAGGAAAGAAAACAATTTCACAGATATTTTAAAAAAAAATAAGCAAAGAAAATTGCAAATGATATGAACATGGCTGTGAAGAGAACATCTGAATGGAATCTCAGAATAGTTCAATAGGAATCAAAAGTTTTAAGTTAAATATAGAAACAGGATATGGTAAAATAGAAAATGTTAACAGACAAAAAATAGCCACATCCAGAGCCGGATTTACCTATAGGCCTAGGGCCTCAAAATCTAGAGGGCTTCCAGCCAAGGAGTATATTTTGACACTGTCATAGGCCTTTCTTACACATGCTGTCATAACGCATTGAAGATTCTAAATGACCCTTCACTAATTTTAAACACCCGTCATCATCTTCAGCTTTATTCAAATTGCTTAATTTAACACTCTTCCATTTTCCTCTACCCATGAGAATGGAGGATTTGGAGGGACCTCATAAGTGGAATAGCCTAGGGCATCTCTCCATCTAAATCTGGCCCTGATCACATCATATGGAAATGAAACAAGCTGAAAAAAAAAATACAAATGTAAACACAACTGGGAGGGAATGGTGATCTACTTGGAATTGTGCAAATAACTGAGATTTAACCATGCCAACCAATGATACAAACCAGTATTTATTGCAGAAAATTTTCAAAAACACAACATTCCCAGGGAATTTGTAATTTAAACAGATTTCCCAGACCAGGCCAAGTGACCAGATCTCATTGTAAACAAGAAGATTTGATAATTTTGTTTTTAATTTTCAGATGAAGAAATCGCAATATACTTTTGTAGCATGTGATTAATGCCAAAAAATACCAGTCTTCTGAATCAAATCTAATGTCAATAAGGAACTTTTTCCTAAGAGGAGTTGATCTGTGGTGACCCCAATAATTACTGGACTTATCAAAGTAATATTTACATTCATTGTTACACCAGAACATCAGAGGAGCTAGTGCATCAGAGGTTGACCTGGAAGTTGACATCATAGCCACTAGGTGCACTTAATAGCTGTGCACTTCAGAGAATGTCAGTGGCTGCCTCCAACGTGTAAACAGATGGTTGATCCAGTTGAGCTTAGAATGTACACATGTGGAACAGCCAGATGACAGGGAGTGGTCTACCTAAGAAGCAAAATCTAATCTCTCTCACATCCTCATAAGAAGAAAATGAATATTCAAAATCTCCTAAAACTACTCACTCTTATTTATTGACATTAACTGACCAAGTCTAGAAGAGGAAAAAACAATAATTTTATGTATTAAAATTTTCGTATCATATTTTTATTAGTCTTACAATGGTAATGTTACACTTGGATTTATTGAATTTATAGTTCTTATTATTTACACTATTTATATTTAGACTATTGTCTTCATTTTTGTTGTTATTATCACAATGTTTCGGCTATTGTACCCGCCAACATTCCTCAGATTTATATTGATCTGAGTAACCTACAAGGAATTCCAAACTAAACACTTTATTTAATCTACAGGGGTAGGCTGTTCTTATTTCACTGCCTATATCTAGGGATAGTGTCTACTTCTCATTTTTTTGTACCGCTCAACTATTCAATCCTTATTCAGTCCTCAGTTCAATCCCACGGTTGGGCAGTGTTACTTTGACTGAGTGGAAACATGCAAGCAATAATGTCATAGTTTTATGTAATATTTACAAATACACTACTTAGTTATGTAAGATATGCGACGCATGCTGTTAGATATAAATGATAAAATCACATTTACTGGATGTCAGAGTTTTAAGTAATATTTACACAAAAATACATATTGTTTAGTTGGACAAGATATAAGACATCTGTTGGTAGATATAAATAATGAAATCACATTTATTTGATGTAACAATTTTATGTAATATTTATGTAAAAGCACATACACTACTTTTTAGTTGGGCAAGATGTAAGACACATGCTGCTAGATATAAATGATAAAATCATATTTAGTTGGTTTTACAGTTTTATGTAATATTTATGCAAAAACACATACACTGTTGGACACATGCTTCTTTCTTACTATGTGCCATGTCATTTCAGGACATAGGCGATCATGGCTCTCCACTTCC